ACTCATATGACGAAATAATGAAAAAATTCCAAATAAATTCGAACATAATCATATTAGGGATTGTGCTCAAACAAAGTCACGAAAAATTATTAATGCAATTAAGCAAAAAGCGAAAACATCTATCGATACTCCCTGTAAGGAGATATCGGCAAATCTAGATGAATCTATCGTAATGAAGATTCCTAATTCCAACCTTATTAAGAGAATAATACACCGTACAAGAAACTCTCACAATCATCCGTCACCGTGCCCAACTTCTTGGGCCGCTACCCTACGAATATACTATTATCGAGAAAGGGGATAATTTTATTAATCATGATGATGAGGTAAAATTAAAAAATCTAGTTTATATTTCAACTTAAAGTCAAAATTTAGTCTATTTTATTTATTGGTATATTGCAAGTAATTATTTTTAAAATTTGTTAATTAAACTTTTAATACTACAATTTTTATATTATATATTAAGATAAATGAGCGAATTTTAATATTCTCGACTGAAAGAAATCTTGAATGTCCTTATGTGCGATGTAGTTAGCCGATGGTACTTGTAAATGTACACCACCTCTTTTCCATCAACTTTATACACTTCACGGGGTTTTCCCCCTAGTTTACATATTAATGACCGGTAAAAGATGTGAGGATTACAAGCGAGTATTTGAAATTATTCGATCGTATGTAACAATCTCCTGATTTTATAATGACCGATTTCGAGTTATCGACAATCAATGCATTCAAATCGGTCTTCTCATTAACGAAACAACGAGAATGTTTATTTCATTTTTGTTAAAGTTTTTGTAAAAAAATACATTAGTAATGATGGTATCTTTGGTTTACGCGTCAGAAACCGATGTCATAATGGCTTTTGAGACATTAATAATGTCTCCATTTTATCAAACAAATGATATTTTTCAGCCGATTATTGATTATATCGAAAATACATACATAGGGAAATCTTATGGGTGAGAAAGATTAATTCCAATTTATCCCATTCCCTTGTGGAATTTTTATGTTTCCACGCTTAACGGAGAAATTAATATTAATACAAATAATGCTGTGGAAGGACACCGTAGCTTACTCATTACTGACATCCTATTATCCGACGATATGGAAATTTATAGAAGGTATAATTAGGGCTGTGTCGATATTAAATATAGGATAGGATCGACACCGATATTAAACATTTTCCGAAAATATCGGATTGAGCCGATACCTGTAAAACCTCCGATCTGATCCGATCTTTTTACTTTACTTTTTTTTGTTATTTTATGTATATTTATTTTACATTAATATTATTATCTAAATAATTTTTTATTTACAACACCCCTTAAATTTTATTTATTTTTTAAAATAGATTTATAGTATTTTAGGTATTCTACAAATATTTTAAATTATGGATAACAAGAGAAATATCAGTCAAAAGTAGACTACAGCTGTTCAATTCGTTGATTATCCCGATTCTTTTATACGGACGCGATATCTGGGATGTTAATACTAAAAAACTTCAAGTTTTTATCAATAGATGTCTAAAACTTATCAATGGATATATATCCTAGAGTCATCACAAATGTTAGCCTATAGAAACTATCCAAGCATACTCCAGTCGCAATACAACTGAAGAAAAGAAGAAAGTTATTTGCGCATATTCTGAGAAACGCCGGAAATAATTTGGCCTATGAAGCCCTTGACTGGCTACCAATTTATAAAAACAAAAGGTATTGTAATTATAAAACGTACTGGCTAAATAAAACTGTATTCGACATTCTAAATTTGAATATAAGTCTAACTCAATTTACACATTTGAATAATAATAAAAGTTCAATTAATAAACTTCTTAAAATGAAAACCAACTACCTTATAGATCGATAGTTTTCTTATGTAATCATTCCATCCCTTTGGGAGGTTTCAATAATTTCCTTTTCCTCTTTAACCATTTTCAAGCTCATTCCAAAATTTACTACGTAACCTTTATATTCCTAAACCTAATACTGTACACTCATTGGATGGTTATTCGATTTATTGTTGCTCAACGTAAGTTTTAAACCTTATTTTTAATATATTATCCTAACATTATGTTATTATATTTATTTAAGCCGAGTTATATTATTTACTTCTCAATATTATTTCAAATAAAATTAATATAGCCAATATTATCCTTTCATAATCAAATTTTATTTTAATTGGGCATGGGCTTTTTACCTCTCTTTTATTTTCCCATGGGCGTTTAAGTAAGAGGCTTTGCCTCTTGCGCGCACAGGTAACTGCAGCCTGCCCAAAAAACGTGGATGGTCCTCTTATTTATTTAATTATTTCCCATTGTTTTATCCCAGTTAGATGGGCTCTTATGAGAGAACCAAGCGTTGCTCTGTTATATATATATCTTTGGTATATATATGACATTTTAGGGCTAGTGCGCTTAATATCACGAATCACGTAAAAGTTTTTTTATAAAAAAAGAAAGGAACACCCAAAGCTTTAATTTTTTTAAATCTTTTTAAATAATAACGCCTGTTTTATTATTTATACTTTAAATAAAAGATTTTTTTTAAATATGGTATCTGAATTATGGGAATATTTTACAAAATGCTTTATCTGCGGAATTCTAATTTCACGAGGAGGAATAATGAAGAATTCATTTAACTACCAATATCCGAAACTTTTTTAAATTATTGTAGAAATAAAAAATTAAATAAAATGCATAATCCAATTTTTTTTGTATAAAAAATATGAATTTCTTAATAACATTTGGTTCAAAGGGGGGTGGTGAAAAATCAATATAAATATCGGATCGGGTTTGAATCAATATCGGATCGGTGAAAAATATGTGGATCGGCACAGTCCTAGGTATAATATTCCAGGTAAAAATGCAAGAAAAAAATTTCATAGGATAATTTGCTGTTTTTTTAAATTAAAAAAGAAAAATTGATCAAACAAATAATTTTATATATATTGAATATTTATATCATTTTAAAGACTTAAAAAAACAATAGAATTTAACTGAGTTAAAGATTGTTCAACTACGAAGGTGATGATGAAACTTCCCTTCGAAAAAATATCGAAATCGAAAGACTAAAGAGAATAGTTTCGGATTATAGGAATACGCATATTTTATCGTACCTGAAGTAGGCCTATTCAAAAAAAATTCGAATATTCGATTCAAATAATTCGAATAGAAACGAATAATAAATTATTTGCTTTATCCGAATACGAATATTTATTTATTCGATTCGAATAAAACGAATTATTCGTAATATTTAATAAATTGCTTTTTTTAAAAATAAATCTAACATTTGTCATTTCTATTTGATAACCTGCCAATCTGACAGGTGATGTGTTTATAAAAAGACTAGGAAAAATTTTAATTTTCCGTATTTTTTCAAAATTAATTATATTAAAAATTACACAAATCAAAAGTATATAAAAATATATACAAACCTAAGGTATATAAAAATATATTATATCTTTATAATAAAATATTGTTAGCTAGCCTAATTATGTTAGAGGAGAATGATTCTGATGAAATAGTTATGGTTGATGTTAACAAAATTTCTTCACAAAAAAAGAGCGATTATATGGGATCAATATCAACTCAATGGTAAAAAGGCTGCTTGCAATCATTGCAAGAGCATTATTAAATTCAAAGGCAAAACAACATCGCCTCTTATTAATCATTATAATAGGTTTCATTCACATCTGTAAAAACAGTAATAAAATTGACACTTTTTTAAATCCTATATCACCTTTTTCTTTATCTAAAAAAATTAATTATAAAGATAACTCACTAAAATTATTTATTAATAATAATTTATCTTTTAAAAACCTGATTTTAAAAATTTTATAAATGATCTTGATTCTTCTATAAAATCAATATGCTCCAATACTCTTAAATTGCATATGTATAATACATTTGCAGAAAAAGAACAGTTGATAAAGGATATAATATCCAAAAATAAAAGTCAGATTAATTTTTCATCTGATATTTGGACTAGCCCAACTCAGGTTCCTTTTTTAGGGTTAACAGCCCATTTTATTGATAACTTTAAAATAAATAACATAATTTTGGATGTTGCTCCAATAAATGAACAACATTCAGGTGAAAACATATTTAAAGCCTTTATTAAAATAATTAAAAATTATAATTTAGAGAATTAAATTTTTTATATAACTCTAGATAATGCTACTAATAATAAAACATTTATTGATACATTTTCTTTAAAATATCCATCAATAAAAATAGGGCACATTAAAAATTTTAAATCCATCAATTTTAAAACTACGAAACATTATTAGGATGATACGTAATTCTCCTAAAAAATTAAATTTATTTATGTAGTTCACTACATCCTCCTATAAATTTTTTAAAACCCAAATTGGGTTGTGAAATAAGGTGGAATAGCACCTACCAAATGAATGAAAGGGGCTTATTGTTAAAGCTGCTATTTAAAATACATATCATTTTATTTTATAAGCTGCTGATAATTACAACTGCCAAAATAAGGATGAAAGTCAACAAAACAGGCTTGACATTGTTTTTAAACAAAGTTATGTTCAACTATGTGAAATCGATTTTTACCTGAGTAAACCAAGATCAAATAGTGATATTGATCCATTAATGTGGCGGAAGACAAATGCACATAGGATCCCCATACTCTCAAAAATGGCAAGAGATTATTTATCTATACAAGGAACATCAACTGCGTGTGAAAGACTTTTCTCAGTTGGCACTAATTTGTTGTCAAAAAACCGCATGTCGTATAAAGAAGAAAATATAAGAAAAACCCTTTGCCTTAAAAATTGGCTTAAAATTATAAATTAAATGAATAATATAATATTTTAATTTTGTTTACAACTTGATTATATTTATTTGTCATCGGATTATTATAATTTTTTCTGTTTGAAATCAAATTTGCAATAAAAAAATTTGTCAATATATTTGAGTATGATGAATTTTATTAAGAAAATTCATTTCAATTATTCGAATCGAATACAAATAGTAGATTTCATTATTCGTACGAAAAACGAATAGAATACGAATAATGCACTATTCGATTCGAATACGTTTTTGAATAGGCATAACCTGAAGGGTCTCGCATCTAATATTAATTTATCATAATGTATTCAATATATATATATACATAAAAAATAAAATTGCAAATTATTACAGATTAATTTTTATATTTTAAAGTATGAAAATATAAAACTAAGTAGCTAGCAGAATATAATTATATACTCAAATTATTATTAGATTTTTCGTTAGTAGGGAGACCGGGGTTATATTGTCCATAAAAAATTGAGAGGCTGTGAAAAGGAGGAGAAATAATTTATCAAAATAATTTTGATGTTATTTTATTCTTTATATAATTACAAAAATCATAGCAAACATATAATATTAACATACAACACATTTATTACATATAAAAAATGGATTAAAATCACAACATGATCCATGTGCCCATAAATGACAATTACGGCATTGGAACCAATCTTCATTATGGTGGTGAGTTTGATAGTTTTTGTGGCACACTAAACAAAATTCTTTTTTGCCAGCATTCATATTTAAACTTTTTTTATTATTGGTTTGATTTTTTTTTTCCAGATTATAGCCCTAGATCTGGCTATTTTTTTGTAAGGTGAAGAGGTTAAAATGGCTGAAGTCATTTGATTACGTGTTGTTTTTTTAAATATTGTTGGATGGGGACTAATAATTTCTGGAGCAAAATCTTTTTCCACGTGAGAAGATGATGGAACAGGACTATCACTGACAGATGGTTGCGAAATAATTTCAGATAAATTTAAATTCTCATTAGGATTGTTATTATTATAATATAAAGGATTAGAATTTTCGTCATTAAAAATTAAAGGATTTAGGGGCCATATACCTGAGGATTCGAAACCCTTTTGGATATTTGAAGCTGAGGTGGCTTTTGGAAGGACATCCTTTACTACTCCAGGGATATCATATATAGTAAAACTTTTCCCTGGATGCATTCTCATCCAAGCATCCAAGGCACTGTTGTAATATTTTTTTAGAGGTCCAAAAACAGTTCTATCCAATGGTTGGAGTTTGTGAGTGCAATGGGGAGGGGGAGTCAATAGAACTATACCACTGTCAGAGCACAGCTCAATGACTTCAATAGATTGGTGAGATTTATGATTATCTAATATAAGCAAAACTTTTTTATCTTGACTGGGCTTAGTGTATTTTATAAAATGATTTAAAAAATATATAAAATCTTCAGCCAGCATCCATCCAGAACCATTGGACACGCCAATGCATCCTACAGAACCATCTCTTAAATAATGATCATAAAATTTTTTCCTAGGATATATAAACATAGGTGGAATAGAATTTCCTAGAGCATTGACAGCAATTGCCAAGGTCATAAGTGTACCACGTTCTGATGTAGTAATTGCCCCAACCTGTTTATCGCCTTTCCTTGCAATAACATAATTAGACAGTTGAACTGTTGTTAATCCTATGAAAATATTAAAGATTTGCTATCATATATATTTTAATTTACCAGTTTCATCCAGATTATATATATCACATGGTAGAAAGTTATTTTCCCTTGTGACAGTCAAATAATTATTAAAAAATAAATCAACCATTTTCATATTGAAATTGGTAGCCCTGGCTATACTTGTAGCCTCTGTGTTTTCAAAGAAATAGTTGGATTTCTTTTAATAAATGCTCCAAACCAGTCTTCACCAGCTGATTGAGTTATTTCTCAAGATTTTGGTACTTGTAAACTATACCTCTTGGCCATTTGATAAGCTAAAACTCTAACCTAAATTTAAACATAAGACATTAAATTATTTATATATTAACCCTTCACTACATAGGTGAAAAAAACTCCCGCGGTTACATAGGTGGGGTCTATTTTACCCCAAATTTTAAATATCTATATTTCAGAAAATAATAAAATTTAAGAACTAAAATTTTATATACTTATTGTAAAAATATTAGAGATAATAAATACAAAATTTCTAGATTTACATTTATTTATAAATAAAGTTATGATATATTTACTAAAGCTGCTCAAAAAAAAATCTTTTTTTTGGAACTTTCCTTAATCATATGATATGACCAAAAATAAATGAATGGAAGCAAATTTGATTATATATTTTATTAATTCAATATTTTATAGTAATAATTAAATAAATTTTATAATAAAACATCAGATATTAAAAAAAATATTTGATATTAAAGTTCATGCATTTTTTTTAAAAAAACATTCACAACATGTTACATATATATGATCTTTGCATATAAATTTTGAACAAATAAATGAGGATTTCTTGTCCCTAACCCTTAGACAAGAGGGGCACCTTCCTTTTTGTTTGGTTGAAATAGGTTTTAATTCCTCTATATTTAGCATGTTCCCAATATTATCCCTTAGTAGTTTATTAACATGTGGATTTTCATATCTACTACTCATTAATAGAGTTATTAGCTCCATTGCTAATAATTTTATAAACTTTGATCTATTAATCTCCTTTAAATTATTGGATTTATAAATTATTAAAGAATTTATGCAAGATATATTCAACAAATTATAAAAAAATTGTCATGGCCATCTATTTGTTATTCTGGATATTGAATAATTTGAACATAGCTGATCCACAACATCAACACCAGCTTTGGTGAGATTGTAAAATGTGATAATTTCTGGTTTTTTCAAATCCCCAGTTGATGTATCAATATTGTTATCATAGTGAAGGGTAGAAAGCATCATGCTTATACTTTTTTGGTACATATGATACTAATGTCATATTATCTTAGCAGGCAAATAAACTTGAACAAATATCTTTTTTTTTAATTAAATGATGTTGGAAACTGCTATTTATTTTTTCTTAAAGTTCCTACTATTGTTAATGAATGGGAATTTAATAAATGTATAGCAAGTTCATAACTGGTAAGCCAGTTATCTGTGGTGACATTCCTATTACTCTTAAAATGGGCTGAATTAACTTTCCAACCACATCAAAAGGCTTATTTCTCAATTTATAAGGTCCTTCAGGCTGATTGCCAGCATATAATTCTATTTTCAAAGTATAAAATGTCACTAGAATAATTCAAATTAAAAATCATATGTTAAATTTATGATTTTTTACTCCACCGAAAAAATAAATAATATAAAATTTTCAAATTTAAAGTCATATATAACAATCAAAAAATAGATATAATTTTATTATTTTCAATTATATTTATTAACCTGACATACATAAATATAATTTGTAACAAAAAAAAATTGGATTTTAAAAAAAAATTACATCATTACATAGGTGGGGTATATTTTACCCCAAGCTCAACAAATAGCATATATCTCAAAAACTATCAAATCAATAATCATGAAATTTGGAAGTTGTATTCCTTGTTACAAAATATTAAACTACTGAAAAAATCAGGTTGGAATATCTTCTAGCTTTTGTATTACAAAGATTATAAAAGTTGTGGGGTCCTATTTACCCCACCTTTGTAGTGAAGGGTTAAGGCAATCTAATTAAAATCCTAATTCTTAAATTTTATTCTGAATTTATTTTATAATTAATATAATAAAATATATCATACATAATTAAACCTCTAATGTATAGGTAAGAACCAAAATATGTTTTAATGCATGATATAATTTAATGCTAAATCAATGAATAAATCATTTTAAAATTAATATACATGGCAGCATCATTTTATTTTAAATATATATCATACACATAATTAAATCTTTAATATATAGGTAAGATATGATTTAATGCATGATATAATATATATAATGCTACAATGAATAAATCATTTTAAAATTAATTAATACATGGCAGCATCATTTTAAAATTAATATATATACATGGCAGTATCATTTTAAAATTAATATATATACATGGCAGCATCATTTTATACATAAATGGCAGCATCATTTTATTTACATATATATCATACACACTTAAATAAATATCATTCTAATGTATAAGTTGAATTCTTACTTTAAAGTATTTTAAAATTAATAAAGATGTTTCATTAACATATAATGTAAATAATTTAAAAAAAATTTCTCAAGTTTATTATTATTTAACTAAGGAAATACCATGGCATAAATTTAAATATTATAAAAAAATTCATTTTACAGAGATATATGATATAACAAAGGATTATAATACTTGTTTAGGGCATAATCCTGAAAATAATCTTGATCCTTTAATTAAATAATCTGTTAATTTAGCTTCTTGAATAGGAGAAAATACTGATCTGTGAAGATATCGCTCTTGAAAATTTTCATTCCTTTTGAACAATTTATTATACCTCTTAATGCTTAGTTTCTTAAATATATACTAATTTAAATATATAAATATACCTCCCATAACTTAAATTCGTATTCATGGTTATAACTGTCAAAGGTATCTTATCTTTCAGCATTTAAAGAATACTTGCCTTTTGATTATCATTATTTTCTTTGTAGTTTTTCTAATATATGTTCGAACCATTTTACAAAATCAGAACCAATATTTTAATGAATGTATGTAAAAGGAAAAGACGCACCCCGCTAATACCTTTCCCAGGTCCACAGGATCATTTAAAAATTAATTTTTTTTTTCTCTTTAGCTTTCACCTTTTCTGGTGGTAAGCTCCTTCAACATCTCTCTCCACTTTATGTTATTCATACAATCTCTTTTATCTATTTTATACTTCTTTATATTGGCTCTAACTTTATGGCCCCATTGAAGTTTTGGCCTTCCTCTTTTACGTTTGCCCATCACTTCCAAACTTTCAACTTTATTTCCTATGTAGTTCATAGGCCTTCTCATTGTGTGCCCATACCACCTAAGTCTGTTTACCATTAACTTAGTCTTAATGGGCACTACCTTTAAACTATTTAGTATTCTTGTACTGCGCACCTTATCCTTTCTTGTTACCCCAGCAATCATCCTCAGCATTCTCATCTCCATAGTTTGTAGACTTCTCTCGTCTGATTCTTTGGTTGGCCATGTTTCCGAACTATATAGAATAGTTGGTTGTACTATGGAACTGTAGATTTTTCCCTTTAATTTGTGTGGGATTCTTTTGTCAAATAGCACTCCAGATAAAGATCTCCACTTTAACCACCCTTGATTAATCTTATTCTTTATCTCTTTTTCTATTGTGCCGTTTGTTTGTATAGTGGAGCCCAAATATTTGCAGCTTTTAATTGCGGATATCTGCCAATCATTTATATCAATACTCTCCGTTTCATCTCCTCCTATCATCATATACTCCGTCTTTTCTCTATTTACTTTTAATCCGTGCGTTTCTAGGATATTTATCCAATTCACTAACCTTTCTTTCATTTCATCCTTGGATTCGGCAAGTATCACAATATCATCTGCAAATATCATATTCCACGGGACTGTTTGAGGTATAGACTGTACATCTATTACTGTAATGAAGAGAAGTGGGCTGAGAGCCGACCCTTGATGAACTCCTTCGGCTATTGTGAAGCCTGCTGAAGTACCTGTTGTGCTACGGACCATTGTTGTATGTCCCATATACATATCCTGTATTATTCTTATATATTTTTCGGGAACATTTTTGTGGCGTAGCGCCCACCAGATAAGTTTTCTTGGGATTCTATCGAAGGCCTTTTCTAGATCGAGAAAGACCATGTGTAGCTTTTTTTTTCATTCATTTGCCTAATTGCATGGATAGCATCGGTTGTTGATCTTCCAGGCATAAAGCCAAACTGTGTCTCTCCTATTTCGATTATATCTCTTAATCTTTTTTCTATTATTTTTTCGTATAGTTTTAGACAGTGTGACATTAGTTTTATGCCCCTGTAATTTTGACAATTGTGTGGATCCCCTTTATTTTTGAAAATAGGAACTAGATAGCTCTTCCTCCATTTTTGGGGAACTTCTTCATTTCCAAGTATTTTATTGTACAGATTTGTGAGGAGATGTATTCCATCATCTCCTAGTGCTTTAAGGCTTTCTATTGGAATATCGTCTGGACCCCTAGCTTTGTTGTTTTTCATATGCTTGAGGCATGTGATTATTTCTTGTTCCGTTATAGGTTGTACAAGGTTTTGACAAGGGGAGTGTTCATCGAGATGCAATATGTGGGAATTAAAGTTGAGAAGCTCCTGAAAATATTCTTTCCATCTATTCATTATTTCTTTTCCCTTTATTATCAATTTCCCATCTTTATTTTTGATTACTTTCGGAGCTCCGTTTATATCCCTGAGTTCTTTTCTCGCTGTTTGGCTAATCTGTATATTTTATTTTGCCCTTCTTTGGTATGTAGATCTTCGTACATGTCATCGTATGCCATAGATTTGGCCCTAGCCACCGCCTTTGTAGCTAATCTCTTGGATTTTTTGTATCTTGACTTGTCATCTGCATTTTTGGATTTGTACCATAGGGCTTTTTTCTCCTGTGGTTTGTACCTCTTGATTCCACCACCATAGTTCTTTGTGTGATTTGTTGCCTCCTCTTGTCAAGCCTAGCGTCGATTTTGCAGTGTCTATTAATCTGGATGAAAGGTCTGTCCAGATTTTTTCACTGACTTGTGAGCAATTTATTGTTTCAATGTTTGCATTGATTGCAAAGGCATCTGTCATTGTTTTTAATTTGTGCGGCGATATCTTCTCCTGGGATGACTTTGCAGTCTATTACATCTTTTAATCTTCTGCGAGAGATTAGCATGTAATCTATCTGTGTTTTCCTAGTACCACTTTTATATGTTATTTGACTGTCT